GTTCGAAACTTGACTTTCGCCATTACTTGCCGTCACCTGAAGACCAGTGAACCGGTATTGAAACAACTTGGCACTGAAAGTTAACTCGAGAACTGCGAAGAAGCCCAATTTGATATGTTTTCGCTGAGGCAAGAGAGGAAGTGATTACCCTCTGTAGTATGTGTCACCACAACCCTCTATTCCTGAAATGAGGCCATCCATGTAGCAGAGACAATGCCAAACTGTTGGGATAATGCGGTAGGAGTGCGAACAACTTAATGCATGCCGATGTCATCAATCAAACTGATGGGTAGAGAATTGTTCTCAAGTCTCGACCATGTGTGTTTGTTAGGATCATTGCCTTGAGCCGTTGCAGAAGTAGAGCATCCATGGTTCGTGGTGTCCGTTGTAAGCATAGGTTTTAAACACCAGTTATTGTACCGTTGAGCGAACTATGCTATTGCCAAAGCAGATCTGCCTCTACATTTCTCCTCAATGCATGATGGCCTCATGAAGCCTCATGTTACGTGTTTGCTTCCTGCTCGATGAATATCAATATTTTAGATCCCTCGTGAAAAAATCATAGGTTGGAGTTAGTTCTTTGCGCTCAGCTATTTTGGCAATTAGCAGGGCCAACCGCTTTTGCCCAAGTTGCACATGTGCAAAATTTACCAGTGGTCAGACCAGGTCAGTTTCTGGAGTGAGGAGAGAACCCAAGCTGCCCACAGTTACCACATATCCGCGTGACACATTGCATCCACCCATTTATAAAGGTTAATTGATATAGCATGGATTATGGTATTAAAAATATGCTATGAACAGTCACCAATTAATTCGAGGCATTGTCCTTTTGGTTATTACATTGTTATTCTGTCAAAGGGTGATTAAATCTGTCATCCTGCAAACTGCGATGTATAAATGTCTCAAGTCGGACTTGCCAAACTAAACAGTTGTTGCTTATTTTCATCTGCTCCTATGATGTAAAACATTTGGTTTACTACAGCACATTTTTGTTGTATAAATCAT